GAGAAATTCGCTCATCTCTAATGCTGAACTATAGTTTCCATTGCTTTGACCAAACTTCCAGCAATGTCAAATCATGTTACGTGTTACAAAGAGCTCCAGTAATATCTACCCTATTGCATACCTTTGTGTCATGAGCGAAGACATACCTTACCCCACACCTTCAGTTAACTCAGTTATGAACAGGTTAGATAGAACAGGACTTAGTACAAAGTCTTGTGGCACACCACTATTGACTGTGTATCCACTATAACACCCAAGATGTAAGGCCTAGCTTGTGCAACATATTTATTAGAACATTATGTGGAACTGTATCAAATGTTTTGCTGCATTCAAGATATAGCTACGCTGGCTAAAACATTTGTGATTTAGTCTGACATGATCTGCCCTCAGTAAAGCCATGCTTCCTTGGGTCCAGCAATTGTGTTTTTAAATGATCACTGATCTTTCTTTTTACTAGTAATTAAAGCAGAACTCTACCCAAAAGGAGAAGTTCCACTTTATTGGCTTGTCCCTCACTCCCTGTTAAGGATGGCACCTTTGGGGAGGGGGGTTGGGTAGCCTGTACCCCATTTTTACAGGTACCCACCTAGGTGATCGGAAGCTGAAGTTCTCCTCCCCTCGCAGTCTGCTGGGACACGTGACAGGTCCCAGAAAACTGTGGGACCATTCATAATGTGCAGTGCTGCTCACACATACACAGTGCGCACCTGGCTGTGAAGCTGCAAGCTGTCACAGCTGGGTGTTCACACATAAGATGCTGGCTCCGGGGACAGAGGATGGGTGGTGAGCACACTGCTGGATTGAGGGACAGGTGAGTGGCTGTTTTTTAAAAGTCAGCAGCTACAGTTTTTTTCACCGGAGACTGGAGCTCATTAATTGCATTACTATAGATGTTAAACTCACTGGCCTATAGTTGCCAGCTTCTTCATTACTAGCCTTTTTGTGATTAGGTACAACTGTCTGCCAGTAATGGGGATCTTCTTAGAAGAGATTGGTTAAAAAGATCAATTGTCCAACAACTATACCTCAAAGTATATAAATTTTTTATTACAGGTACAGTACTTATAAAGTGTCGCCAATTTACAAATCCCTTTACATACTACACACACACACACTATAAGGCCAATTAACCTGCCAGCACGTCTTTGGAATGTGGAAGTAAACTTTAGTATCCAGGAGAAACTTGTACAAGCAAAGACAGCATCCAAATTCCCTGCAGATAGTTTCCTCGCTGCATTCTCTGGGAATTCTACATTCCATCAAGACCCGTTGCTTTAATAAAAGATAACTCCACTTGTGGGAAAAAAATTGCAAATAAAAAAACTAATAAGCATATACCACTGAGACACAAGTTATATTTTAATTGAATGTTATTAACAATGACCTCTCTTTTTCAAGCTGCAACACTGTTAATTTTCTGTAAAATGCAATGCATAATGGCTACCTGGAGGTGTTCTGTGCTCAGGTGGTGCACCAAACGCCCCCAGCAAAGTCATTTCTTGCTTGTGAGATTGACTTACTGATTTCTCCAGAGGTCTGCGCTAAAGATACAAATCAGATTTTGAGCATCCCCTGCAACAAAAATGTCAGGGAAAAAGGGAAATCATGTCTAAAGGGATGCAGACCCTGCAGCCTTCCTCATTAGAGCCCTGAAGGCAGCAGTTGATTGGTAAATATGAAACCACTCCTTTACAGATTTACTCCGCACATGGACACAGACAAACAGCAATTTCTTCAGAACAACAAACGGTAGGAATCTGCAACAATGTTTCTTAAAATCCTTGCAATGTACACAGAGCACTCAGAAAGGAATATTTTTTTCTCAACAAAAGTACTCTTTAACCACTTCCTTTCCGGCCCATGTATATAAACGGCTGGACGGGAGCAATGCAGGAGCGGGTTGCTGTTCATAAACGACACCCGCATTTTCAGCCTGCGCGCGCTCCCTGGGAGCGTGCAGCCCTGCGATCCAGTGCCTGCTGTGTCCTCCAGACACAGCGGAACACCGCCTGCTGTATGGGACCTCTGTGTGAGGTCCTGATCATGTGATCACTGATTGGTCAATCAGTGATCACATGAATAGTAGTAAGCAAGATGTCACTTCTGTCATCATTGCTTACTATGTGTGAAATCTGTGAATGATCACAGAAATCACAACATTTATTCACAACAGCCTTGTACCATATGACAAGCTGTGACCAATCACAGCTCTCACAGTATTTCTTAATGGCTGCAAGAATGCAGCCAGAGAGCAGGAGAAATTATTGATTTTACAGCCTTTATAAGTGTAAAAGCAATCAGTGTAAAAAAAAAAAAATCTTCATCACCCCCCCACAAGTATTACAGTGTTACTATGGTGACACTGCACTGCTAGGGTGACAGAATGTTAAAAAAAAAACAAAAAAAAAACATGAATAATAATATAAAAAATAAAATAAAAATGTAAAAAAAGTTTTTAAAAAATATAATTTTTGGTTATAAACTAATTTGGGTTATTGTTTTTACTAAAAAGATAGCTGAATACATTTTGGCCAAGAAAGATTATTTATTTGCAAAAGTTTATAAGAAAACCACTTTTTTTCAAAATTTTTGGACATTTTCATTTATAGAGCAAATAAAATAAAAATCCCAGTGGTGAATAAATACCACCAAAATAAAGTTTTATCTGTCTCAAAAAAAATTCTAACAAATTCATATGGGTACAGTGTTGCATAACCACGCAATTGTCATTCAAAGTGTGATAGCGCTGAAAGCTGAAAATTGGCCTGGACAGGAAGGGGGTGAAAGTGTCCGGAGTTGAAGTGGTTAAGCTTTAAGTGAACCAGTTGATGTGCTACCCCTGCCTCTGGAAAACCTTTAAAGGAACTTTCACTGTTAGAACCAATATGTTCCTCCAACCGTTTTTGTTAGTGTCATTTCATCCTGAGAAGTAATTGTTTATTGTTTAAATGATTTGTTATATTGAGGTTTTCCTCAGCTCATGTTTTGTTACCAATTCCTGTCACTGACACCTAAAAAGGGTTGTCTCCTTTGTAACAACTTTAGCCATTTCCTTCTCTTTCTGTGCTTTAGCAGAATTTATAGAATGTCTGGCCTTTGTTTTACAGCTACTTCTTCTGTTTCCTTGTACCTCCCATATGCTGATCTTTTTTTCCTTTTTTTTCTTTTACTATCTTTACCTCTGTAGGAAACCATAAACCATGTTGTTTCTCTTCTGTTTACTCTTAATTATTTTCTTGACATATAATTTAATTGCCTCCAAGATGGTAGACTTTAATAGTTTTTTTTTTTTGTAGGAAAGTCATGTAAGTTATACCAATGTTTTATTTGTACTATATCTAGACTATACCTCATTTATATTTACCTTTATTTATAGCAGGCATGTCCAAAGTCCGGCACACGGGCCAGTTCCAGTTTAATACAGCCCCACAGGTAATTTGGCAATATCTAAAAAGGAGAAAAATGCCTCTAAGTGCAATATGTGGTACACTTATTGAGGAACATAATGAGAAACACATGATGAAAGAAAATGACAGGCTTAGGCATGTGTGGTGAAAGCGAAGGACATGGCGGTATCCTCGATCTATACGCCTTAGTAAGCACTGGAGGAGACTCGGGATGTTCACAGGGAGCATGTGTGAGATCCAAAGATGGCATCCGGAGTCCACCCTGGAGCGCAACATCGACATCACCATGATGACATAGGGATGTCCAGCATGCAATGCGACGTGTTTTTGAACATGTGTGAGGCCGATGAAAGGCAAAGGTGTGCTCTCTTCTCAAGCATTGAACGAAATCAGTGAGAGTAATTTTGCTTTTTTTTTTTTAGGAGGAGAAACAAGTACAGATTTCAAATATGTCACGACCAGTATCAGTCGCTCCTTTTTCCATTCATTTTTTTTTTTGCTGCAAAATGGTCGTCCCTCAAGCATGTTTACTTCAACAAATCTGGCCCTCTTTGAAAAAAGTTTGGACATCCCTGATTTATAGGAAGTGAACCAGTTTTCGGGAAATGTGCTGAGTTGAGAGTTAACTGCATTACGGTTTGATGTTACACCAAAGTCAGTCTTTTCAAATATGATTACACATTCTACATAATTAAAAAACGAGTAACTCTGGCCCACAGTAGTAAAGTAGTGTAAGGGAGAAAAGGATAAAAATTATAACATTTATAAAGTAAGAAGTAAAAGATGATAATGGCAATATTGGCATACACGTACTTAAAACAGGGTATGTAAATGCATTGGTGTACAATAAGTCCTTATAAGAGTCTCTCTTAGGCAATTTTGCCTGGAATCTTTGTAGCACAAAAAGACGGAAGCCATCCTCGGAGCAAGCCAGCTCTGTATGCAGGAACAGTAGAGTGTAGTAATAACACTGTATTTAATAGCAAAGGATTAAAAACACTCACAAAGGAAGTAATAATACAAGCTCATCTGTGTATATGAGAGATGACCGTTCCTCATAACGTCCTACACAGGCGCCACTGGTGGTTGGTGCAATAGCAGCTGGCCTGATGGAGATGGTAAATCCTTCAGAATCGTGGCGTTGTAGAGCCGATCCAGTGGGGTTTGTGCAGGAAGGAGCCTAGTAACCAGCATGGAACACTCCGGCAGGATGTGACATCACAGGAAGAGGGTCAGTGGGAAGGAAGAGCACAGATGTGGGAAAGTCAGGCTATGCGCTCGGAGCCTCTAGCTCCTTCTATTGGCCTGATGGACCTTAGGGGAGTAGCTGCTTAAATAGAGGACACTGCTGTGGCAAGCGTATACCCAGAGACTGACGCAGTCCTCCATTTTGTTAAGAATCTCCATGTTGTCCCTCATTTTTCCCCCTTTCCTCTTGGTTAATGCACAGGGACATATGTGTGTTGGAAGGGTCACAGGCAGGCTAGGGCACAGCAGGGAACCCCAGAGCTATAAAACATTTTTGAGCTAGGTGCCTGGCTGTCTGGGCGAGGTGTACCATATAATACCTCGTATAAGATAAGGCAAGCTTTCCCAGGAGTTCAAGGCATGCCAACGAAGCACGAATCAGATAAACACTTTTCAAAATCCATTTTTCCCCTATGTCTCATATCTTGGAATATGAGAGACTTACATAAAAACCAGACATATCGTCAGATTGGCTAAGAGGAGACAAACTATTTGATGGGTCACTCTCCTTGTCTCAAATACATAGGAAAGCAGAAAAGTAGATCTCGGGAACCATTCAGTGTATAATTTCATAATTCATATCTAATCAATCCTCAGACGTGTCTGCATCATAATCTACCCGCGGGTGGAGTGTCACTTGTGCATAGGAAAAGTTATGAGCCAAAATAAGAACTACACAAGATTTTGGTTCTAGTTTAGGGCTACGCCCAGACCTCCACACCCTAAACGGGGTATTGGTCCTTGACTTCAGAGACACCCCCTGCTGGGGAACTACAAATGGGGCTGTCAGGCCTAAGAGAAAAAAGTTGAAGACGTCTCCCATTTTAACATCAGTACCACCTCGGGAGACCCGTGCCCTTTTGCTCTGAAACTTGGATCTGATAACCCAGGACTTTGGCAAGTACCTTAACCCTTTTACCTCTCTCTGATATCTCTTTGCTGTGCTGTTGGTCTCTGTATATTTCTATATATATCTTAGTTACATCTTTTTCTGTAAATATTTTTATTGCACCCGTTTGACCTTTTAGTATTAAATCTTTCCTTCTGAAAGTGTTGAACTGTTTCTATAGCTCTTAATTGCAATTTATGAATTCCTGCCTCTAAAAGAGATGCTACTGTGTTTGTTTTAACCCTCTGTATAACCGGCCTGAGGTGACCGTGTTATACAGACGATTACCTCAATCATTATAGTGTTATAGCTGATATTGCCGAGTTTCCTCTTTGTCTGTATAAAAAAGGAGGTGGTGGCAGTGTGAAGGGTTAATTGCATAATTAACCTGACACAGTAACAAGCGCATTCAGACTGCCGGTACATTGATTGTGGTCCAATTAGCTGGAAAAGCGTTGTGCAGGGTGCAGCTGGGTGTGACATTGTTACGCACGTGACAGCACGGTTTTAGATTGACTAGTCCTTCGGTCACGAGTTTGGTGAGAAGGGCTGGGGTCTGACACCACAGTCGTCAGATATTGGTGACAGCGATCGTGGGATCGTCGCATATTGGTGGCAGCGATCCCGCATCCGTCACAACTGCCAGGTGTGGAACAACAAAGTTCAGTGGAGATTTAAAGAAACACTAACATGGAAAAAACGCATATCAATGTGGAACATGATCTCAAAGCACAAGCTATAAAAAAATATATATAAAAGATATAATGATATAAAAGGAGAGCACTGAGCCATAAAACAGAAAATTATGAAGGATATATATGTGCATAACGGTATACATGTACTTTTATTAGCATCGATAATAAAATGGTAATAAATGTAAAATTGCACATACGGTAGTGTCAATAACAAAAAAGGATAATGAATGCGGGGCACTGAAAAGAGAGGGGGAGGGGAAAGAAAAGTCATGTCAGTATATGCACATCTATGTATGGAAGATGCGTTGCTAGGATAGACATTAGGATATTATCGGAGGAATGGACAGATGATTATAATATAATATGTATCTCAATCTGCTCACTAAGCCCTCCTGGGGCTAGGTGTAGATCCAGTATGTTTCGCGTTGGCAGAGGCGCTTAAAACGCTTTGCCATTGAGGGTAATGGGGGAATGTGTTCCAGGACCCACATGAATACCCCCCTGGTGGATTTGTCATGATGTTCTGTATAGTGTCTAGGGACACTGTGCTTATCAGAACCTGCTTCAATGAGGCATCTGTGCTCGCCAAAGCGTTTACGTAGCATTCTGATGGTCCTCCCTACGTAAAATAACCCACAGGGGCATGTTAAACAGTAAATTACATATTCGGTGGAACAGTTGTAAAATTCTTTTATGGGGTAGGTTTTTCCTTTGATGGTGAATGTTTTCTGACCATGTTGAATGAAGGAGCATGTAAGGCACAATGCCGTTTTTACATTAGTACATCCCGACCAACGGGATCAATGTAGTGCGTGGTTTGGGATTGGAAATGCGTTTAATTTTACTGGTAGCTATTTTACTTTTAATGTTTCTCACCTTCCTGTATGAGTCTTTGGGACTGTCAGGGATCGATGTCCCTGCCGCGATACGCTGGGCGGCGCATGCGCAGGACACCGATGCGTTCTAATCAGCGGGCAGCGGGACCCGGGCGAACACGATGGTCGCGCATGCGCACTCGCGATCGTGCACACGCGCCTGGCACCAATGACAGCGCAGGGCGGGCTATTTAAATGGGAATAGAGGTATGTGAAATTGCCGTTTGGTCTTTTGTGCTCTGTTCCTGATACCTGATCCTGTGTTACTCCGTTGCCGACCTCTGCTTTATACCTGACCCTGCTGATTGTATCCTGCTTAACCCTTGGCTTGCCTGACCATCCTTCTGCCTGACCCCTTGTACCCGCGCTGTCCGCTAATTACTGAACCTGGCTTGTGACCTCGACCATTCTCTGCCTTCTCCTCCGGTACCTCGCTGCCTGCACGTTGCTGACGTGGCCCGCCTGACTACGCTTCCAGCCACCCAGACGATCCATCCATCCATCCTGCAGGGATCGTCCCTGGTTACCAGGTCTGCCGGCCTCTTCACAGCAGACTCCTTACCCCGCACTCCTCTAACGGTGCTCTCTACCATTGTCGGACGTACTCAGGGTTCGCGACCTGGTCTCAGTCTGCTCCAAGTCCATCCCCACCATCAGGGTCCCTGGTGAATAAGCAGATTGGGACTTAGA